ATGTTGTCTTTCATTTCCATTTTCCCTGGTAACCACCTAAGTCTGGACTCACACCACCTCCTGGGTGGCTGAGTGGAGCAGCAGCCTCTTAGCTGGGACTTCTTCGCTCTGTGCAATGTGGCCCACGCTCTCTGTCCATGTGAACTCTCTCTGTCTTCTATCCTGGGTGTCACCGCCACACAATCGTCTGTAAGCAGTATTTTTATCGACTTTCTCTGTTCAAATACATCCAATGTCCTCTATTTCTGGGTCGATACGTCTGTGCTTCACAGTCACTTCCAAGGACAGTCACTAATCTGCAGCACTATCTCAATCAAATATTGTTTCCATTTCCAACCCAAGGCAGTGTCCTGCAATTAGTGTAGTTTCACTCTAAGGCAAACGCATTGTAACCATTTCATTTCTTCAGCCTTGCCAGGGCTTTCTGCCTGGCCTCTTCTCCCACCCTCACATCCACACCAGACCATTATGCCATGTCCCCCTCCAGCACCATGGCTCGTAGAAACTGGCACTCACTTTCCTAAACTTCATTAGTCTCTCTTTCTTTCTTCTGAAATCTGTGACAGATATCATCTGTGTAGCATAAATCACTATTTACGTGCAACATGGTGTTGGCTGTTGTTTCACAAGTCTTCTTTCCTTCATGCTTCCAAAGAAAAGAATCATTCCTAGGATTACTTCTGTGCTGCCCCAGCACATAGTGCTGGCTAATCTCAAAGTAGGTGTTCCGTGAATACCTGATGACTAATTACATAATGATTAATTGATAGATACTCTTTTGGTGGGTGAACATTTGCTATCTACCATAGATATTATGATATTAGATGTATTCCATGTTTGGATGCTATGATTATATTAACTTGGTATTTAATAAACAGAAGTTAAGTCCAGCAAATGTATGAGAAGTTATAATCATATTTATAGTCATGTGTAACCTTAAAGAATGGGTTGTGACATTAGAATAAAATAGAAATGTCAAATTAACCTATAGGCATCGTATGCCATTGTGTTTAGTTAATTCCCAAAATAGTCATTGAGTACTTACTCTGCTCCTGGTGCCAGGGGTGCAGTGGTAGACAGAAGAGGCTAGCTCTACCTTCTTGGGGCTGCTAGTCATACAGGGAGGTTGACTATAAACAAAATTTTAATTATAATGGTGGCATTAAGTCCAAAGGAGAAGTACTTTTCCCAGTGACTCTGTGTACCTGCTGAGTGGAAGGACAGAGAAGGCATCACAAGGGATTGTGTGGCAGAGCTTAATTTTCCACGTCTACCTGTCCTAGTGATGCCCACTAATGAAGGTCCCCAACGGCTGCTGCTGCAGTGCCATCCCCTCTCTGCAGGAGAAGGAGCCACACCGACAGTTCAGGCTATCCTCAGTTTTTCGGAGCTAACAGAAACATAGAAACTGTTTCTGAATGAGGTTGCAATATGAACAGTAAGTTCTGAGAGTCCGCACTGGAGACTGAAGTTGGTCATGGTAAAATGAGATGTGGAATTGGAAAAGGTTTGCAGAAAACATGAGCACATTAATGTACCCATTTGAATATGTTAGACCAAATCCCCAGGGACATACGCTGGAATTTTCTTTAGCTTCAGGAGGACACTTGAAGAGTTTAATGGAAAAGAAATGTCCTTCAGTATTTTACCTGCTAACAGAAAAGGTAACTTTGATGTGTTCCTAATATCTGTCCTACACAGTGAGAGCAAACACTCCTCACCACTCTGCCCCATCACAGATAAGAATTGTATAAGTTACATGCCTTTCACTTTTGACAAAGGGAATAAACTGTAAAATGCTGCTATCTGAAATGGAAAATGTGGCAACACATTTTATAGCCAGTCAAAAACACTTCTCAGCTAAAATGAAACACAGAAATGGGAAGGTGTGAGCCTTTGCGTCCTGCTGGTGTACTCCAGACTAGTACAGCCATAAACAACTGCACAGCTTTAAAAGTGCAATTACTGGGCCAGGCACGGTGGCTCACACCTGTAATCCTACCACCCTGGGAGGCCGAGGTGGGCAGATCACTCAAGATCAGGAGTTTGAGACCAGCCTGAGCAAGAGTGAGACCCTATCTCTACTAAAAAATAGAAAGAAATTAATTGGCCAACTAAAAAATATGTAGAAACGATTAGCTGGGCATGGTGGTGCATGCCTGTAGTCCCAGCTACTTAGGAGGCTGAGGCAGGAAGATCGCTTGAGCCCAGGAGTTTGAGGTTGCTGTGAGCTAGGCTGATGCCACAGCACTCTAGCCCGGGCTACAGAGTGAGACTCTGTCTCAAAAAAAAAAAAAAAGTGCAGTTATTTATTGAAATCAATTAACTATAGTTACAATGGAAACTCTGTTGTCTAGGTTTTTATTTGGTTATTTATTTGCTTATTTTTTATTTGCTTAAATTACACCTATACCTATACTAGAATGTTTCAAAGGGTAGGATATATTGTTTATGTTAGATTTATTTTAGAGCATGTCAGATCACTCGATGGCATTTTATGTGGCAGAGGGATGTGGTACCACAGCCCTCACGTGGCGTATCAAGCTCTCTTCTTCCTTTAAGTACAGTGTTCCTCAGACTTGTCCCTTCCCTACATTCTGCCTTCACTATGCTCATTAATAGTTCATGACTAAATGGTCAGAAATGAGCCTGCACTGGATTACCCGACTCTGTTGTCTAAGATTGCTCTGTGATATCCTCACCATGCTATTGATTAATTCTTGTTCTAGAAAAACCTTACTCTTATGTTATTCCCTAATCAGGAAAGTGGAATGTCTCCCGTCTTCATCTGTTTTATGCTACTATGACAGAATGCCACAGACTGGATAATTTTAAACAATTGAAATGTAATTGGCCCACAGCTCTGGAGGCTAGGAAGTCTGAGAGCAGGTGTAGGACTCTGGTGAGGGCCTTCTTGCTGCATCATCTCATGGTGGAAGGTTGAAGGGCAAAAGAGCATCCCCAAAAGAGCAAGAGAGCAAGAGTGGACCAAGTTCACTCTTGTAACAAGCCCACTCTTGAGATAACTTACCCAACTTGGGGGAACACATTCAAGCCATTGCATCATCGCCCTGTGAGGCTTTCACAACCATGAAGTTCTGTGTTATCAAATCCTTCCATAATCTAGGTTACCCATATGTAGTCACATTTATTTTCTAAGTATTCCCAAGTCTTTCCTTGCACGCATCATTCTTGTCTCTTGCACAATATTGTGCTCACTCAAACCTCTGTAATATTTCCTTTATCCCGAAGGTCTATTCAAGTCACCCTCATCCTTCAAGTGTCTGCCCAAATCCCACTCCCTACCCTTCAGTGACACATTTCACAGGTGCCCCCACTTGCCATGCTCTTCCTCCTCTCACCCTGTTATATGCAGTCATTGTCCCTAATCCACAGCTCTCAGATTGTCATCATTCTCATCACTGTCTCTACTGTGATGACTGAGAAACTTTAAACGAACTTCACTATGCTGAACATTTATATTTTACGTAGAAGGGTAGCCGTGCCATAAATATTTGAGTGAATGACATAGCTACCCTTAAACATTTGAATGAATAAACTATAATATATAATTTATAGGACAAAAGAATATTTACTCTGTAAATAGAATAAATATCTTGTAAATATTTTGCAGTTATATTCTAGAATATATTATTCATAAAGATAAACACATTATTCAAAATATTGTTCACTGCTTATTTCACAGGTGAATATCATAGAATTTTAGATCCAGAATGTTCTTGGTGCTCATTTATTCTAACCTCGTCATTTGACTTGAAAGGTACACGGACCCCAATGACACAATTAGAGGCAGAGGCACAAAAAAAACCCCACTGTTATGGCAAACATCAAATATGATATTTTCCAGCAGTGCTGTTATCTTACCGGCTAGCTTTTAGCCTGCCTTCTAGACGAGAATAAGACCTATCTTTATTTTTTATATATACATTCCATGATATTTCCTTGCAAAGTGCCAGGACTGTAAGACTCCAATGAACTTTTGCTCTACGAAGCACACATTTCTTTCCTATTATTTTTCAAAGTTACTGAATTTTCAAATGATACTAAGACTTGAAAGGAATTTGAAATTATTGTATCACAAGGGTTAGCTTAAATCTCAGTTGTCTTCATTGTGTTTTTTCAGAACACTTTTAGAGTAAGTTTTTATATAATGATTGCGCTCTTCCCAAAAAGCAGAAACAGAATGGTACAGAAAGTGAATCATGGGTAAATATGCTCTTCCCCAAAAGTGCATGGGGCCCTATGGTCTCCCACCAGAGCTGAAGGAACCTAAGAAAGGATTTTACTCTTCACATTCTTCTTACTACATGACCGTTTAGATTTTTGAAAACCCTGGCTAAGTCAATATACAGTTCCAAAATGATCCATTGGGTTGAAGGACCATTTATGCATGTTGAGAGAGTTACTCTAATGAAAGCAACTATCATAGAGTTGTTTCTCTAATGAATTTGAAATGTATACAGAATAACAAAGTTCACTGTGTCACCAACTTTCAGAAAAGATAAAACTAGCAAACTAGTGTTTTAATTGTAGCATTTAATGAAACATGCTGAAACTTTTATGACTTTCAATTCATGTAGTTAAATGCAAATAGCTTGAGCAGGCATCATGTGACATGTGCTTGGAAAACAGGAAATGGCAGTGTGTGGCTCGGGTGACCACTCTGTGGTCTTAAGTCTATATTAGCCACAGTGTTTGATGCAAAGCTCAGTGAGTAAAATGAAATTCCCTGTTAGACCAAGGTCTTTTCTGTACTAGGGATAGAGACCAGTGTTCGGTGGAGCCCTCTCCCTCATTTTGTCCTTCCCATGTCCTCATTCAGAGCTGGGAAGAAAGAAAGGGAGGGTTTCTGATTTACCACACACCAGGTCATCTGCCTAGTAGTCTAATAGTCTGCCACTTATGCCCATCAACAAGATCAAAACTCGTTCATTTCAATGCCGCACACTGAATGTTTTGTGTTCTCTTCTGGTTTTCAGGCTATATTTTCTGGGAGTCCTGATCCAGTGATACAAATGTGCTGCGATGGTGACATAAACTATTGACTGAGACTGGGAAAGTACCTGGAAAACCTGATGTTCTCTTCCTTTTTTATGGTGCTTCTATTGGAATAGTGTGGGAAAGTATACACAACATGAGTTTTATCATGAAACTTCACAGACACTTTCAAAGGACGGTTATTCTGCTTGCCACTTTCTGCATGGTAAGCATCGTCATTTCTGCCTACTACCTGTACAGTGGCTACAAACAGGAAAACGAACTCTCTGAGGTGACTTCAGAAGTGGACTGCGGTGACCTCCAACCCCTCCCTTACAGACTGCTGGAAGTGAAAACAATGAAGCTTTTTGATGTCTCCAGGACAGACCCCACAGTGCTAGTGTTTGTGGAGAGCCAGTATTCATCCCTGGGTCAAGACATCATTATGATACTGGAGTCAAGCAGATTCCAGTATCACGTTGAAATTGCCCCCGGAAAGGGAGATCTTCCGGCACTTACAGACAAAAATAAAGGCAAATATGTTCTCATTATTTATGAGAATATTTTGAAGTATATAAATATGGACTCTTGGAACCGAAGCCTTTTAGATAAATACTGTGTAGAATATGGTGTGGGAGTCATTGGATTCCACAAAACTAGCGAGAAGAATCTACAGAGCTCTCAATTAAAAGGTTTCCCTCTCTCCATCTATGGAAACCTTGCAGTGAAAGATTGTTGTATTAATCCTCATTCTCCATTGCTTCGTGTGACCAGATCTTCTAAGCTTGAAAAAGGTTGTTTACCTGGAACTGACTGGACAGTTTTTCAGATTAATCACTCAGCCTACCAACCAGTGATATTTGCCAAAGTGAAGACTCCAGAAAACCTTTTCCCCCCAGTTTCTAAAGGTGCTTTTTATGCCACTATCATACATGACCTGGGGCTTCACGATGGAATTCAGCGAGTTCTTTTTGGCAACAACTTGAACTTTTGGTTGCACAAACTCATCTTCATAGATGCCATCTCCTTCTTGTCAGGGAAGAGGCTGGCATTGTCCTTGGACAGGTACATCCTTGTGGACATTGATGACATATTTGTGGGAAAGGAGGGAACGAGAATGAACACCAACGATGTAAAGGTAAGGCTGTATTCTCCCAGAGTTTCAAAGTTTAATTTGTCTCACAGCAGGGCTACCAACTAGCCTAGTTCAAACTAGGACTAAGGAGTTTCTCAGGACATGGGGCTTTCATTTTATCAGCAAAGTCAGGCAAGCTAGGATACACTGCCTACCCTACCTCTCACCATAGATTGACTAAGTAGATAATATGTTTCTTTCTGAAACAAACAAAAAAAAAATTGAAGATTTTACTAAAATATTGAATGCGGCAGGATCCAAAAATGGCTTTCTACCGAGTAGAAACCATTTGTTTAGTTCTGTTTCAGAAACTACCTACCTTAGAAAACTATTACTAATCGAAGACTTGGTTCATTTAAATGTGAAATTAAAGTGAATTTGTCTTAATGATAATAAATACTCCCACAACTTTTCAAGAATTACACAGATCTCTGAAGTAGCAAGTTCAGATATTTTTGGAAGTCAAATATGCAACTCATTTTCTCTTACCATGTTTTTCTGAAACTCTGAAAATTAGCATTACTAAATATGGAGAGCTATTACTATGCAAGCATATTTATTCACATATAAACATAAGGATTTAAATTGATTTCAGTGCACATTTCTGGTACATACATGAAGCCCATCGTGCTACATTTAAATTGCATTACATTTCTTATTGGGTAAAACTGCTGCCCTTAAACAGAAGATAATTATTTGAAGATAGTGTTTTATTATTATGAATTGATGTAAACAACTGGTTGTTTAATATTAATGAAATTTAAAATTAATATTGTATACATTTGTCTTAGTTTCACATTCAAAATGCATAGGATTTCTCATACAAGTGAGACTTTTGATATATAACTTTTTATTCTCTATGGCTTTGACCTTTTGGTAGAATATCTAGAACTAAGTCAGATGGCAAAAAAATATATCTGGAAAACTGTGTTCTTTTATCTAGTCACTGAGCATCTGGCAAATAATAGTAATGTTCATCACACTAGTTAAATGAGCTAAGAATACCAGAAGAATCATTAAATGTTACTGTAAGAGAGTGTGAAGACTAAAAAGAAAAAAACTTTCATACTCTTGGCATTATTTTAGTCTTTTCCTTTTAGCTAAATGGAAATTAATTAATAAAGAAGTTATATTTAAGTTTTCATTAAGTCTTTTGAAATTTAGTTTTGAAAGTGTAGCTAAATTAAAACCAAGCTGATAGTTTAAGCATTTATTATGTGCTTGAAGATTATAAACAATACATAGTTCCCCTTCTAATCTTTCTATTTTAAATTATTATGATAAAATTTTTTCAATATATATATATTTCTGATGTAAAATTCTTTAAAACTGCCAAATATATGTATTTGTTTCGGCATTTCAAAATATGCTAGATAAATCTCTGAGTTTTCTGTGCAACGCTTTCCCCATACCTCATATCCCTTAATATTATAAAAAACATAAAGTGCCTTTTGTGTTCTAGAGGTTAAGCCATGTTTTTAGGGGTATCAAAAATTAATAGGTTGCTGAACACATTAAAGAAGAATTTAGCATGTATACTTTATGAATTGCTAATATTTAGATAGGAATATATTTCCTAAAGCACCTAAAGACTTTTAAAAGTATGTTTTGAATTAGCTGAGTTTTTAAACTACTTCTAAATTATATCTGTGATTGTGTCTCAAAACACTAATTCATTGCAGTCAGCTGCCTTGAGAATGCAAGCATTCATTCATTCATTCCACAACTAGTTATTAACGTGTGCTGTATGTGGAGCACTTTTGGGGACTTATAGATGGAATCATAAACCATGGTCCCATCCTTTAGAAGAGGGGATGAGGAGAGTCGGTCAGAGGAAAGCACACTGTACTGCACATCATTTGCTGCACACTTGATATGGCCAAGCACAGGCCAGGCGCATGGGCTGATACAAAGATAAATAAAGTGTCTTGCGGGGGAGATAAATAGGTAGGCAGCTTGCAGCATGGTTGGTATAATAACAAAGGTATCCGTGCAGATTTATGTAAGTAATGCTGTGGAAAACACTGTCGTGTGTGCTGTGTAGTAGCAACGATCAGGTATGTGGCACAGTGTGAAAGTGAGACCAGAGTGATGCTGTGATTCAGAAGGCTGTGCAGTGATTCAGACAAAAGAAGGTAATTTCTTGAAACTAGGAAATTGGAGTAGCGATGGAGAAGAAAGGACAATTTAAGAACTATATAGAGGTGAAATTGAACAGCTTAGTAATTGGCTAAGTGGAGATAAAGGATATAACCAAGGATAACATTAGGGTTTTTAGCATAGCTGAATGCTTGATGACACCAGCCAACAGCAAAGAGCAAGAGGATCACAGTGCAGGTCATTAGAGGTCGTAACACAAATTTCAGTTTTATTGAAGTGCCACATGGGAGGTATAGGCGCTTCACAGGCAGTTGGCTCACAGGAGAAGTCTAGCTAGGAAATACAGATCTCCAAGTCAGCATCCAGGAGGGAACAGTTCACAGCAGGAAAGTGCGAGAGATCAGCCAGGGAAGGGATTTTTGTGGAGTGATAAAATACCAAGTGTAGAATCTTGAGGAAAGTCATTTTTTAGGAAATAAGTAGAAGGAGAAATTCCATGAATACGTTTAAAAGAACAGTCAGAGACCAGGAAGCTGGATGCCGTAGAAGCCTTGGGAGTGAAGAGCTTCAGGAAGGCTGTGATCAGCAGTAAAAACCCAACAGCAGGGTCCACTGGAGTAAGGATGGGACTGTCTCCTTTGGGAAGAGATGAAGATCACTATATGAGTCCCTTGATGAAGGTCCCTTGTATGAGGCAGAAGCCCAGTTGCAATGAGTTCAGGAGTGAACTAAGAGGTAAAGATGTGGAAAAATAGTGTTGAGTGCTCAGTGGAGAAATTTTGATATGAAGGTAAGAAGAGAAATTAGACAGTAGTTGGAGGGTGGGAGGGTGCTAGGGGGACCAGCTGCCCTGGTTTCCCCTGGACCAAGAGTGTTCAGTGCAAAAACTCAGAGAGTCTCAGTTAGTTAGTTTTTAACTAACTGAGATAAGAGAAGGAATAGCAAAGACTATGAGGTCTTAAAAAAAAGTTTCTGGATTTTGTAATTAACAATATATAATTAATAGAAATATTTTAATCAAGGTTTTTATTTAATTATTGCCACCTATGAACAAATATTATACTTTTCCTTGAAGTATTAGGAAAATTGAAAAGAATGTGAGAAAATCAAATATCACATTGACTGTTACTTGCAAAATTAGAAAGATAATGCACAACATAAATTTTAACTACTAATCACTGCATATATGTTAGCTTTTTCCTTATTTGGAACAGAAAATGTATTTCCTTATTTAATGAGAAGATTAGAATTAGCAGCGAACTATCAGCTTTACCTACCTAACCGTTAATTAATATGAACACATTTTACAGAGCTTCAAAGCTACAAAAAAAAACTGACATGGCACAAAATGTATGACTCTTTGTATCAGAAAAAGACCAAAAAAAGAAAAGAAAACAAAACAAACCTAAGTTGGTGTCTTCATTCAACTACATATATTCAAGCTACAGGCTTCAAAAAAGGCAGGATTAATTTCAGTTAAATTGAAGTTAGAAAAAAAAGGTGTGCGTGTATTTCATTGGACTTTGGACTAGTTTTGTGATGTTCAAAAATTTAAGTTCCTAGTACTCTTGGACCTATCCTTAAACTTCCTGAGACTAAGCCTACAGAATAGTTTATTCCTTTTAACATTTCATGATCCAAGGAAATAAATCAAAATATAAAAGGATACTGAGCATAGTAGCTCACGCCTATAATCCCAGCATTTTTGAATGCAGGGGTGGGAGGATCACTTGAGGCCCAGAGTTGGAGGTTACAGTGAGCTACGATTGTGCCACTGTATTCTAACCTGGGCAACAGAGCAAGACTGTGTCTGTTAAAAAATAAATAAATAAATATACATATATATATGTATATATAAAAAGACCTTCTTTTGTATTTCTATGCTGATGGTTTCTACTGTCAGGCCTGTAAAAGATGGGGGTAGCTACTCCCAAAGTAGATAACACTTATTGAGTACATGTATTGTTTTAAGTGTTTTACTTCATGTTCTTTCATTATCATTTAATTCTCACAAAAATCCTAGGAAACAAAGACTTTAAGTAGCATCAATTTTATAAAGAAACTGAGGTTCATAGTCTGTGACTAACTTGCCCAAGATCTTACAATTAATAAGTGGCACTCCTAGGATACAAAATGCAGGTCTCTCTGGCTCCAAAATCTGAGCTTTTCCACTTCATAGTGCTTCACAGTTGTGAATCTAACACAGTATTATGGTGACCATAGCAATTCTTTTCTACCAAATTCTACTTTGTAGCAAATTATATGCTAACAGAGTCTATTATAGTTTGATAGGTCATATCTGAAGCTTTGCCCTAGATTTACTTTAAAAATCTGGAACAAAAATTAATATCAATCACTTCTTTAAATGCCTTGTACTCAATCTAAGTTGTAGATGAAGTAGAGTGGCACAATGACAGACACTTTGAATACTGAATAAAAGGAAGACCCCAAATTGCCTGTAATTCAGATAATTTAACTTTTTCTATCTGTATGTGCTCAGACTTTAAAGTCTATGTAATGCAAAAGAAACACTCAGCAAAGTGAAGCGACAACCCACAAAATAGGAGACATTATTTCCAAACTACCCATCTGATAAGAGATTAATAACTAGATTATATAAGGAGCTCCAACAACTCAACAGGAAAAAATCGAATCTGACTTAAAAATGAGCAAAGCTCTGAATAGACATTTCTCAAAAGAAAACATGCAAACGGCCAACAGAAAACATGCTCAACATCATTAGTCATCAGAGAAATGCAGATCAAACTACAATCAAATGACAATGGAATTATCATTTCACCCCAATTAAAGCGGCTTTTAGCAGAAAGACAGGCAATAACAAATGCTGACGAGGACATGGAGAAAGAGGAACCCTCGCACAGTGTTGGTGGGAATGTAAGTTA